GGACATGGGCGTGTTAGACTGCGCAATGTACACAACAGGGTTGTCAGGTTCAGCTTGGTAAGTAGTCTACATGTTAGAAAGTAACGAAGAAGAACTGTGATCATCTCTTGATACTGAAGCTCATGGGACAAATGTAAACCGGCATTAGACAAAGTTTCATGGCAGCCTCCCATGTGAAATGATCCGAAATACCACGTTTGTGCACAGGACTGATGGAAAATTGCTTTCTTAAAATTAAAGCCCGCACGTGGCCTGCTCGATGTCCTAGGAACCTAGCCACTTCATCATTCTGTTTTCCACTGAATAACTAACGTGCAACCTAGTTTATGGCAACATGACTTTATTAAGCCTGGGGATCTTACAGAGACTCTAGTGTCCCAAAGCACCACTGTGCACTACTTCGCACTTTAGATTTCTCATGTCTAGTAATTAAAATTTAGGTAAAGTATTCACATTTTAAAGGCAAATTCGAGATCTAATCCCGCATTTGAAAACAAAATATATTTCATGAGCGCCTTTGTTTCCGCTCTACTGTTAAAATGAAGGCCGGTCTGTTTTGTCTCTCTCGTGTTTATAAATGATGGTTTTACGATCTCTATAAGGTACTTGTCCACGTTGTATTCTCATCCTGACTGGCCCCATGTACATCCAAGAGTGGTTCGAGACACCTTGAGAGAAAACATTGATGAGAATTGGATGTGGCTGATGGTTACGCCATCTTGGATGTACAGACATCTCAAAATTATCATGAACAAGAAACGCCGAGGACAGCCTGTTAGTTTCACTGACGTTTTTGGTTACCTGGTCGGCGACACGATTCTGAAAGATGTAAGTCGTCACCCAATCAGAATTCCAAAACCAATATTGGTTTTGAAATTCTGATTGGGTGTCAAAGCGGCGCGAGTTTTTAAGCCAATCACTTAGCGTAGTAATGCAAGACTAAAGCAAATGCCACTTGATTGCTTTCGACACTCGAGTGAAAATCACCCTAAAAAAGTTTCTTGTTACACATTTTCACTATGTCATATTTATCTATTTTGATTAAAAAAATGTGAAATTGAGATTGTTCCTTTTTTTTTCACAGCGCGACGAAATGCCGTTACTAAGTGAACAACAGAAAAAAATCGAGGGAGCCCTGGTTCCTTTTCCGCTGTACTGCTGTGTTCACGTAAAAAAGGACATCCCAGCCAAGGAATATTGTGGTGAGGGAGGGGGGGGGGG